AAATTGTTCTTATGAGCGAACCATCTGATCTTTTCTTCAACGCAACATCAAAGAAATGAAGCAAAACCCCTAACTCACTTCCCATACTGAACTTAATTTCGGGATGGCAGCTGTTTAATATTTTTAATGGGATTTCCCCTTGCTGGCCACTGTCAGCTACTACCACTGTGTCGTCAATGTACCTTGCGTAAAAGTGTGTGGCTTCAATGGCATCAAGTAATTAGCTGTTCTCCAAATGACTCATCGAGATGTCGGCTAAAATCGGGCCAAAAGGGCTAACCATCGTTACTATCTCAATTTGACGATAGATATTTCCATCAAAGCAAAATTGGACATTTTTCATACAAATGCGGAGTAAGGTCTTCGACCGGTGTGCTGGCAGGCCCATTTTGTCCGAATGCGCACCTATGGTGTTCAAAGCCTCCTCCAACAGCTCGACTTTGTGGCCAGCCTCGCTTTGCCCTGGTAGGGAATGCGCAGTGCTGACGATTCCTCGGGAGAATGAAACGGCCTCCTCAACTTTTTCCGGATGTGTAGTAGCTCTCCTACTAAATGTGACTGTGACTGTCCTCCGTCGAAATTTAATCAAAACTTCTTTCGCTACTTTCTAGAAAATAATTATCTTTCGTCGATTCTAGGTCTAGTGGTTAATGCGTCCATCATGGGTCTAACCGCATTAGCTGTTGAAGAAGCATAACAAGGTGGTCATCGTGTAGGTGATGTGGCTGGCGACGTCTATGTAGTGCCTCATCGCCTCATTCGATCCATACTTACGTGTTTGAAATCGGTCACCGACGCTATCACGAACCATACGCGGCTATCTCGATTATTCCGCGCGAGAGGCATCCGTCGTGTATAGGGTTTGTGCGTCTGATGTGCCACCTTTACTTCCCGAGTTTGAGTATCCTCACTCCTGCAGTGTCCAAGTTCGCGTGCTGCAGGTTGCGGTTGTATCGTACTGCGGATACCTGCTGTTTACAGGAGACTGAAGATGCAAACAGTCTGTGACTTGTGTCCACATCTCAATCACCTACCCTCCCGATATGTGCGCACTTATAAATTGATAACTGGGCTATTCACCACCACCAGAGGTTAACTCATGTGAAACCGGTCTCAACTTTATATGCACTGGCATAATTGTGTTGCAGCCGAACGTCAACTGCTCACCGTTTTTGGTCGCTTAGCGTTAGTGCGCTGCCCACAAAGGCTGATTCACCTAAGTCCCGTTGTTAAAACCTTAGATACATGCTCCCCATATTGCCTTTGTTTTGTTTCATTAAGGCAACACAGCAGTAGATTTCGACTTGCAACCTGGTGTTTCCTGTCCACCGATTGATTGATGTCATCATAATATCTCTCAGCGGACAGTCTCATACACTGGAAGTATTATGCGTTAGTTTACTGGACTTATCGGTCACAGTCTTGACTGTGCCGTGTAACCACTGTACTTGGCAAGTGTTTAGAGACTCCAATTTCTACGCAATTCCAATTGAAAACAGTGCGGTATCTTGCAAACTTTTACTTCAGCCAAAATCATGGGCCGATATTTTTTAGCGGGGGAGCATGGGTCAACAGGGATAACTTAGTGAACTAGTTAATCACGAACTCTATTCATAGACCCAGCCTAGAGCCTTTGATTCTTGGGAAACCAGCTCAGCAGATAAAATGGCTATTTATAGTCTGTTCAGCCGACTCGAAATTGGATAGCCGTATCATGTGACTTGCTTGAATTATTTCAGGACGAACTGGAAACTTCCACCACATATTATTGGCTTCACCCATCATCGGCTGTTAGCACCGTGCTTTCACCTATGGCCTCCAATGTTGTCAGGTGGGCAATATCGTTCGAGCGCAGTTAGAATCGAGCATCTATTCAAAACGTACTTAGTTATATGTGCACAGAAGAACTAGAGGTGACTAGTCGTTTCCGCATTCCTCTGTATCTGGCGCTCACAATACTTTCTTGAAGTTCCGCACCAAGCCAGATAACCCACCATAAAACCCTCCCCTTTATTCGTCATAGGTAGCTCTGCTTGTATTGCCAAGAAGATCACCTTTAGATCTTAACGTCGGGTCAGTATGAGCCTTTGTTTAGTGACACGGCATAGCTGTCTGAATCCAACCTTAAATTTGTCCAAGCTCCCAACTTTCTTTGCACTCACTGTCCATATTGCTTAACCGTCTCACTTTTCAAGGCTCACGTTGGTCGGTTTAACTGCGGCGAATAAATCGTGTTGGCAAGTACTCAATGGGGGCAGTTGCACTGTTTGTACCAACCATGACATTATCAGATTATCACTGAACGACGAAGTTACTGCTCTCCGTTTTCGTTCACTGCATCAGTTCGAATTTGGAATCCAGAGCAAGATCAAAGTAAACGGGTTTTGGTCCGGATTGTATCATATAAGTTATTCTTCATTCTGCTGCATGAATTGGAGCAACGTCACAATTAACTTAAGCCAACTATAACTGTGGTCTTCGATTTTAATCGCGTGCCCGATCCAGTCGGTCGCTTTGCACCGTTCGAGATACTTGCCCTAACAATTTTCCTACTGCCATTTTGCGTGCCGTGCACTCGAAATATGTGGTCAGTCCAAGACCCACATTGTTGTTGAATACATTACCGTCCACAAGCGGCGTTTATGATGGCTTTCCCGGTTATCCGTTTCCGCTCAGTTTTATTCTGAACTCCATCATGGAATAACCTGTGGAGAAACACAATTCCGGTATTGGAATCCTAGCTTCAGGAGAACTGCTTACTCTGAGCTATGGAGACATTATCATGCTGCCCAACAGTCACGTTTCGGTGCCTCCAATACCATATAGGTACACCGGAGTGAGTCTTTCCTTTGACGTGCGTCTTCACCTTCGAAGTGTAAAATACAGTTTCAAGACTATAAACTGCTTACTATTTTATGAAATCTGGCGACCAGGAAACAGAGAGTTGATTAGATCATCCGCATATGCTGAATTTCAGTGGTTGGAAACACTGGACGTCATGGCCCCCAACAGGCATCATTAGCGTCAAGGTTGTTCTGCCATTATATTCCCCCCTTTAATACACACAAAAAACTCAAAACAAAAACGAAAAATTCAGGATGACGTGTGTAAAACCAAAAAAATCGTTTTCCATTTTCTGATTGCAGTTCGCGTTTCCATCTTCTCCTTCTTTCTTTTGCCATGGTTCTGATGGCACAATGTCTGTTAACAGACTGTGATTATGCATACACCACATTCAAAGCCAAGAAATGTTTTCTGTCAACAAAATAGTCACACATTCCACAAACATGTGTCAACCTTCACAGTGCTCGGAATGAGCTCGGCAGTCAAACTGCTGTCACAGCTCATATATATATATATATATATATATATATATATATATATATATATATATATATATATATATATATAGCTTAGCACGCCCAAAAGGAACGTGCACCCCGTCCCCTCCAGCAACGACCAACTGTATCCTAGAGCCAGTATGAACGAGATAGTGGGTAATAGACAGGTAGGCACCTTGTCAACATGCACATCAAGCGCAACCATACTAGGGATATCAAACAACAGCCATTCACTTTAAATGACAAGCTGAAATGAAATAAATCCAATAATGTATATAGATACGGTGGCATAACTCTTCGCTAAATTACCATATGAAGTAATTTGGTTAGCAACAAATCCGTGATAAGTAAGAAATGTCCACAAGTTACTTAAAAATGCTACAAACGCAACAAAATTACCGAAGATAACCGCAATTAGTGAAAGCAACGTGGCCAGTTAATAGAAGATTATTCAAGTAGGCAGAACAAACCAAAGAAAGTGGAATGAAATTTAGCCAGCTTAAAAAGACTTAGTTTAAGTGTAATTTGGTTTAGCCCAACTGCGGTGAAGAAGCATCAAGAATGCAACATCAACCTCAGCATTGGATATATATATATATATATATATATATATATATATATATATCTGGGCTGTGACAGCAGTTTGAATGCCGAACTCATTCCGGGCACTGTGTAGGTTGACACATGTTTGTAGAATATGACTATTTTGTTGACGGAAAACATGTCATAGCTTTAAATGTGATGTATGCATAATCACCATGATCGCCATTCCTGTCTACTTCGATGAGACTGCTTCTGACATAATGTACCGGACGCGTTGTTCGTGTTTGGCTGCGGCGGTGTTGAGCTGCGCTGGTGAGTGATAAATAGATTGGGCCCTTAGATTTAAAAATAGGACTGTTGGTTGCGTTCATTCAACTGTTTTACGGTATAGCTGTTCACTGTTTAGACGGGCATTGTCTGGCTGTTGTTGAATGGTGTATGGGTCGAGGTTGATAATTGTTGGTCGGACGGTGGAATATGATGTCAGTTACCAGTAGAATGGATGCAGTTCGTTCATCTCCTCTCCGAGGCGCTGGTCCGTGGCCTAAAGGTAACGAGCTTGTAATCTGACGGCGCGGGTTCGAGCCTGCGTAGGGGCAGGGTGACCCTCGCAGTATCCTTAGCCCACGTGCGACCGGTGGTGGTTGCGCGGCAGCGAAGCGTCGGTACTGCGTATCGGCGTATTGCTGATGCCCTTCTTTTATCTTGCTTTGATCATTACGAAACCTCTTTCACAAACAACACAAGTTGTGTGTTTTCTTCTGCGCCCTAACCAAATTGTCGTTGCTTGTGATACCAGGTGAAGACAACTACAACAGAGCTATCTCCTCCTTGTGCACAGCTCCTCCAAGAAACCTTCAGTCCTTACACCATCACTTTTCTCTCACTGCTGCAGCCTTTGGTGCTGTGTGTTTACACAGCACTGTAGCACGCATGCCGTGGCTCATGATCCTCATTGTTCTGGGACACGCCTCATTGTCGGTTTTATAGAAGGGTGTTGGCCATCTGTATCCACCTTTGCTCATAGTTTACGCCCACGCCTACTCACGAGTTCACTTCTTTCACTTTAATCGATCGCATACTGCTACTTCACTCTTTCCCGCTTGATACCCTTAGCCCATTTAACTCGAAGAACCCGTTTTTGGCAAAAGTGATAGTAAACGAGGAATTGTACAACTTTACAGTGCGGTCATGCAGGCATATTGAACTTGACATCGATGGTTCCTCCTTCAGGTGAGTGTGATTCGAATTTGATACGGTTGTTGAATCTTAGGGAGGATATTGCTCGTTTTATTTTCCGAGTCAAACCTTTGGCCCGTTGACACAAATGTTATGCATTGTCATTTATTTCTTGGTTTAATTACTTTGCAGTGGTCTCTACCGTATTTTTACTCACTGATTCGTTCTGCCGGATTTCAGTAGAAGTGGCTGTACACTTTTACTCCAACGTGAGCGGTCTCGAACCACACGGGCTGATTGATATCACCTGCATTTTGTTTTATCATAGGCTTGTGAAGGATCGGCTTCGTCAAGCCTACAGTGTACTAATCTGCGGAGAAATTACTACTTATTCATCTTTGGTTTTGCGTCGGTTATAATGAACATACACAGTGTATAGCAACGTTCATTCATACCGTGACGCCGTGTATTACGTGAAGCTAACCTCCATACGATTATCGGACACTTCCCTCAACACTGCACCACCAGTGGTTAGATTGGTGCGACGTTTTTTTAACCGGTATCTGATACCACTATTTGAATGCAGGTATCACTTAAATCTGCTTGCTTCAAAAATCAGAGGAGTAAACCTATAACGAATGCGAATCGAGGACAAGTGACATCTGTTTGTCTGTACGGGAACTAATGCTCCATTTGTAATGCGACCCTGGGCTGATAAGAGTAATTAAATTTTTGATGGTCATTTTCGGAGCCACCGGATAGTAAGATGTGCATAACATCTGAGACAACAGCGGAATGATAGAGGATTTCAATGACAGACAGCTGTGGACAGCTGCTGCTTTTCATAAGCGGCGTCCATTTGGAGGGACGGCAAATCTATCATAACAGACCGACGCTGTTCTCCTCAGCCACAAAGACAGTACTATCTATGGTTTTATGTGTATGCGAGCACTGTATATCACGTGGTTCTGTCATTCAGGAAATATCGAATAACCGGCGTCCATTCATGTTTCTCTCTCCGCAGTTATCGTCCAGGTGACCATGTAGCTGTACTACCGAGCAACCCTATGGCATTGGTTGAGTCAATAGGTGAGCTACTGCGCATCAACCTGGACGAACCCTTTGCGTTACTTTCTAGCGAAAGTGAGTAACCATCCATCATACTCCCTTTGCTCCGAATGCTTTGAATGCTCTTTTTGGCCATAGAATACGTCGCTGCGATTGAATGTGCGTTTAAATATTATGGAGGGAAAATATACCATATACTTCTTCACGTAGTGTTCCAACTCCCTCCGTGGACTCAAACCGTTGCGTAGCACAAGCATCCTTGATGTAACAGAAACTACGCATCCTCTTAACATCATCGCTATCGAATGCTCATTCGTCCCCCTTTGTTCCGTATGTAATGCCTGCATACATGTCTGTGTGGATTTTCTCTTTTAGCTCCCAAAATCCCACGACCAGGGTTTAGGAAAAGGAAACTACCAGAACTGACTAATGACCTACTACATTTTAGCACGGGTTATAGAAACACGGGAGGATAGTTCCGACTTATATATATATATATATATATATATATATATATATATATCCACTGATATTGAATGTTTTGTTGCATAAAACATTCCTGCTATTACGCGTTCACATGAGTGCTGATACGGTGCCTCAGACACGTCAAAGTGAATCGGGGAGCTTTGTCGATTGTAAGGTTCCATCAGTGCGTCGTGCGTTCTGAAATATTACCTCTTCAGATTACCTCTCTTCAGTTTCACAGCTTATCGTGACCACGGAACCGTGTTTAAGACACGATGTCATCCTGTGATAGTTTTCTTTTCACGGTGATATCACTTTAATCAACAATCATCCGCAACCAAACCGCACTGACTGCCGTACACATTGCATCGTATTCCCGTGGTATTCTATTCCACCTGCCTAACGTATACTAGGACATCATCACCCCCTTTTGATTTAGAACCTACTGCGCACATGCGTTAAAAAGGTGCAAGATAAAGATGATCGCCAGCAGATGTGATAGACTTTGTATCCTCTGATGCAGTGAACAGTTGCACAGATGAAGTCTCTGTATACTGAAATCATGAGTTCTCGATCGGGTCTCTGTATACTGAGTACTTTTGCTATTGTATTTTTCCTACCATTTTTGTTTGCATTGTATTCTGCCATCCAATCAAAACACGCTTCTCTGTACATGAGCGTTGCAGGTTACAGTTATCCCATTGATTTTGCTTTTTTACAGCGCTTAATCTTCGCAAGTCCCCGTTTCCATGCCCATGCACTTATCGCACAGCATTGACCCACTACGTCGATTTGACCGGTCCACCCTCACTCCGGACACTATCGGCGTTGGCCGACTTTACCGAGAACATGCTTGAGGCGGAGCAGTTGCGCTTTTTCGTCTCCAACACGACAGATGGCCAAGTGAGAGTTGACATTGCCATAACACCATCCCGCACCACACCCACAAATTCCTGCAGGTCGTGTTGCTTTGCTGTTCAGCCTCACAGTTACACTTGCCCTCATAACGCCATTAAGCTGATCACCTTTGATAACACTGAAACATCCTGTTGCTGGCAAAGAGTTAATGACGTTCATTTTTTCACATTCCAATTTTTTTAGACTTTTCGTTTTAGGTCATTACTAATCGTTCACTGCGTTAAAACCACTCTGTCATCGGTTGCAAGCATAGTAATCTTCGATTGTTCGTTCTGTCGATTACGATGCGTATAAAAACAGTAACTGTTCGGTGAATATCTTTTGGCTGTTCGGCCGGTCTGCTTCTGTTGACAGGCAGAGAGATGACATCTTCGCTCGCCTAATGGTTTGCGCACCTTCGCAATCCAGTTCGCTTCGCTAAGTTGCGCACAGGTCAACTGGTAACGGGGCAAACTCATCCTTAACATCCTCTTCTCAGAAAATTTGGAGGTCGGTGAATTTTGTCCCTTGGAACCCAACGAGGGGAGACCATAACTTACACTTTACAATCGCACTCCAATTAATTTAGTAAAGGCGCTGCGGGTGGTCCACGACTATGCGAGAGTGCAACTGCTGCTCACTCATCATCATCAGTACACGTTAGCCAGGGGTTAGAAACACACCGCCAATGTGATGCAATACAAAAAGTAAGACATTAAGCAATGCAGACACTAAAGCTATAAAAAAACCTAATGCTCATATCACATTTTGTTGGTTGCTGAAGGTTGACTCTTCGCCATGACAGCTATTGCATCCAACCGTACATGCTCATCACCCTTCGGTCCCCAGCCAGATAGTCGGAAAACACCAACCGACACCAATCACAAAGTGAGAGACTTCACTCCTCTCGACCAAGTCATTGCTTGGCCTCCCCTTCGTCCGTCCACATTCCCGGCGCGTAAACAACGCGCGTCGCGGGAGTCAATGTGCTGGCATGTGCAATACGTGGCCCAGCCATTGTAACCTGGTGCGTGATATTATGATGCTGAGCGGTTCACCCGCTCTTTATACACCAAATCTGCGATGCCGTACACGCTCATTACTCACGCGGTGCCCCCGCCCGACATGAGCTAAGCTGCATAGGCAGCGATGGTCAAACGTAGCTAGTCTCTTTATATCTGTCGACTTGATGGGCCAATTTTCGCAACCATATGAGAGGGTTGTACGGACGGCTGCATTGTAAACTCTGCCTTTCAGGATGAGAATAATATCACACCGGCGTCACAGGTGGCGGCGATTAGCAAAAGCGTACCGAGCTTTTGCTATACCGTTCATACTCTCATCTTCAATCCCGCGAGCGCTGATATAGCTGCCCAGATACTTGAGTTTCCCGACGACTTCTGAATTATCACCGCCAGGGGTCAAGTGCAGGAGTGGGTCCCTGACAATTTTGGAGAAGAATATTGCATTTCGATGATGCAAAGCATAGCCCGAAACAGCTGACGACCAGAGCTAATTTATCCAATGCAGCTTGGCACGTTCGGAGACTGTCACAGATGAGCGCAATGTCCTCGGCATACTCCAAGTCGAGAAGTCGTTCACCAGGGTGCAGCTCCACACCTTCCAAGTCGTGCCCGGCGAACGCCGTTACCATGATTTCGTCAATGGGGAAACTGTAGACTTAAGGGGACAGCGGGCAACCTTGTCTCACTCCGCTGGAGATATTAAAGAGCAACTACAGCTTACCGTAAACCCATATTCTGTCCGATCTACGCACGTATAACGCTCGGATAATGTTTACATATTTCTCGGACACACCTTTCCTGAGTAGACAGTATATCGATCAACTGAAACAAAGGCCCTTCTTTATGTCTAGGCACACGATTACGGTGAGTCACCAATAAACCCGGCGGTGCTCCAACAACTGGCGTAATGTGAAGTTGTGGTCAATGCAGCCTCGATTTCGACGAAACCCGGCTTGCTCCTCGCGCATCTGGCTTTCACGAGTGCCAATCAGTCTATGGATGACGACAGACGCAAGTACTTTAGAAGCAGTGGAGATAAGACTGATTCCCCTATGACTGCCGCATTCGGAAGGGGTGCCTCTCTTGGAAATCGAAACTATTACTGAGCGGCTCCGGTTTGTCAAGACAGCCTGCTGCAACGGATTCACTGGTACGTTATGTAAATCGTCCAGAAGATCGGGTCCGTCAGATTTGAAGAGGGCTGGATGAAGTCCATCTGCTCCGGCGGCCTTGTTCAATTTCTGCCGTCTGATATGTTCGGTTTCTGCGCGCGAGTGCGCATCCGAGAGGACGGCCCAGATAATAAGGCACTCATTGGTCGATGGAGAAACTGGCAACTTTGACTGATTAAACTGCTTCTCAAATGTTCTGCCCGACTCTCCAAGCGCTTTGACTAGCTGTGGATCGGCTTTCCACTCTCGGCGCATATGGTTTCGCTAACACCAGGTTTCCTGCTGCCCGTTTCTCATATCAAACGGAATAACTTCCACTGGTTACCAAGGGCAGAGGCTGTTCCCGTTTCCCAGGCACGATGAGACCACCACGCTTCGCGGATTCCCTTCAATCAAGCACATAGTTCAGCCCTGAGAGCTTTGCAAGTCTCATTGTCTTCGCTTCCAGCCAGAACACGTCGGCGTACATCCGGAAGTTCCAGAGACTGTGCAGAGACCCAATCTCCAGGTTAGAAATTTGATTTACCACATGAAGACATGCCTACTGCTAATAACGTCTGGCGGATATGCGACCAGTGATCTCCAGCTGTGTTCATTGGGGGTTTACTCAGCTAAGATGCTAGCGTCCTTTGATAAGCATTCAGAACATCTGGCTTCTGCAGTTGGCAAATATCCATCCGTTCACAGCGCCGTTGTGGACGTCCACCGAAACCCACCCGGAGGTTGGCCCAAACAAGTGCTTGACCGGAGTCCACACTCGTGCTCCAAATCGAGTGACAGTTTTGCACGCATCCTCTCCAGCGGTAGCTGGTCGCGATGTGATCGATTTGCGTCCATGGCTAGTGGGCGCTAAGTCACTCTTCTTCTAGTGCTGTGTGGGAAATTAGTACTCGCGAGAAAAAGACGAGCATCTTCATACACATGTAGCAGTCGTTCATCGTTATCATTACGGGAGCCTAAACCGTGTTGACCGCCCAGATGAAGCTCATCAGTGGACAGTTTTCTGACTTGGGCGTCCAAATCCCCGGCAAGTACTACAGTATCCGTACTTTTTCTGTGACGGAGGCGTGCATTTAATTGGTGATAGAAGTCGTCTTTCACCGAATCAGCCCTACAATTTTTGGGTGCATAGGCTGCAGTGACAAACACTCACCGTTTGTCCCCACGTAGCTTGGATGCTTGGAACGAGCCCGCCAATCTAATAGCGGACATTCGGCTGTTCATTGGGATCCAATACATCAAGTCAGATTCAGCCCAGGGGTTAAAGCTATGCCTACACCGTTTTGACCGGAATTTGAAGCCGCTTCATCGGATAAATGCAATGAAAAAATACCGCCACTGTCGCACGTTGGGAATCCGAGGGTAATCACAGAACTCGAATCTTGCAGGCGAGTTTCTGGCAAGCAGCAGATATCGATTGAGAGGATCTCCAGTGTCCAGGTAAGCGCTCCCTGTAGGCCATTTTGCACCAAAGTGCGCACGTCGAGGCATGTCAATCTTAGGGATGACCGAGGGCTCTAAATAGAAGCAGGTGAACTGACGTTGTCCTTTTGGCTGGACCGGAGCGACGCCCTGCGATTGCGTATGTGTCGAAATTAGAAGACGAACGATTACTAAGTCAAGATGGTGGATGGCCAAGAATTGGGGGATTATAAACAGGGGGATAAAAGTGAAGTTGTAACTGGACGATAAGGATGAGCAAGCATAAAAGGGCTAATGAGAAGACGGGAAGGCTTAAGCAGTAGCATCCAAACCCGTATCCACTGTGCTCGATGAAGCAGATAGGGCGCCGTTTACTATCTGCGACGCCCAGAGAATCAAGATTATTTGAAGAACTCATGATGTATTGCGTGGGCAGGATACTGTCAGATTGCCCAGCCCTAGATAGGAGATTAGGGTTCCAAACCAAAGCCCTTGGTTCACAAAAACCGACCACAAGGCGTCAGGCTTTTGGCACTGGACTACAGAGAGCCCGTTTTATGGAGTAAGGAGCCAATCTCACTCCAACACCCAACCTGGAGGGCCAGGACACTGAATTTGTCCGGCCTCTAGCCATTGGCCTATCTGGTATCAGTGGCTCTGAAGGTGCAGAAAAGCACCATGCAGCATATCCCAGTGGATCGCTGAGTCACGCAAACCATTGCACCGCGTTAAGGTCCAGTTTCGTCGCGATGGACTGCTGCTCACTGGCTTTCTACCACTCGACAAACCAGGTGACCGGGGCGAAGGCGATACTACGATTACAAGGTATGTTTGTACCGAACCTACTGAGGACGGCTGTGGCCAAACTGTAGCAGATAGTTGCAACTGCAGTGTCAATCTGGATTCGCTCCTCACTGCCTTATTATTTATTGTTTGTGAGGCTCCGAATACAGCTCTTAGACATAATTTCATCTACCTAACTGCCTTATTAACCAAATTGTTGAATCATAGTGTAGGCGAGTGTCTTGGAATGGGTCGCTGGCTACTTAACTTCCCATCTACCTCCGATGCCGACTTTCTTTTCACCACTTTAAACCTTTCCACTTTGTGCGTTTCTCCTATTCTCGGCTTGATCAACAAGAAGCTATCTCTAAACTTGCAGTTTACACTGGCGGTGTAACCAAATCGTCTTTCGATTCGATGACCAGAACTCAGATAGGGCATTTTGACGCCAGCACTCCGTCTGAGACCTTTTAACCAGCAACGATAGCACTCAAACTGCACATTGAAAAGTCCTGTGCTTTGGGTTCGATCTCATAGGTCCATCAGGATCAGTAGGCAATATCGAATGAGTGAGCCAATCTGCAACACTAGGACAGATACTGTG